TTCTCTCCCTCTCAGGATTTTCCATAGAGGTGCACAGAGAGAAATGAAAGAGAAAACAATTTCCATTTCTGTTCCTTGTTTTTCCTATGTGGAATGTATTTGGAGAATTGTTTACCTGGGTGATGGCTTGGTTGGATTCTGGTGAGGATTGTTTGAGCCTGATGGCCAATCCAACCCACCTGGGGCTGGACTCTCAGAGAGGATCATGCATTGTGTTAGAGTCAGAGAAAGTAGTATGTAGTTTTAGTATCTTCCTTTTTATATAGCATATTAATGTATTTTAGCATAGTTATAATAAAGAAATCATTCAGCCTGCTGAATTGAGTCAGACATCGTCATTTCTTCCCATTGGGTTTGCCTGCATTTACAATATTCTGATGTTCTGCCCTGCCCCTCACTAATCTCTATACAAACCCCTGCTCTCTCTGCCCAAGCAAGTTCTTGGTGCCTGGACCCCTTTGCAGTAGGAGCTCAATAGAGACCCTCTGTGTCACCCCATACAAAGACTCCGTCCCTTCCTTCTGCGTCGCTCGTGGCTGAAATCACTCACCTGTACACCCAGAACATATTTTTAAAGACGCTGCTTTGGGAAGGTCGCGGCACTCCATCACCTCTGCCCACCACGACACTTGGGTGCAAGGCTGGAGGGGCTTGGGCCCCTCTCCCATCCTCGGGCTGGTGCAGGGGCAGCTCAGGCCAGCCCAGCTGGCTCTGCACGTGGGATGTTGTGCAGAATGCAGAATTACAGCGGTGTAACACTGACCCCTGAGCTTTGCAAGCACCATGCCTTGTTTTTCCAACATGAATATGTGACAGCGGGGACCCACAGCACAAGAATGCCAGGGAAAAGTACAGCCAGCATCTCATTCTATCTGTATGCCTGACCTGAGGGACTCAGGAGCCTTTTCCTTGGCACAACAGGACTTTGTGAGCAAATCTGCTGCTGAGCTCCAGCATGAGAGAGTGCAAATGGCATTGGCAGTACAGAGATGTGCAGGAGATGGCTGGAAACCTGGCTGGATAGTTCTCAGCTGTTAAAGCCTGCCTCCTTTCCCTCTTGAGGGTCCTGGGGAGGGGAGGCAGAGCAGGGAATTGCTCACAAACAGGGTGACACAAAAATCCTGTGAGCCTCCTGAAAGAGCTGTACTGGATTGGGGGAGCATCCAGGGTTGGTCTGAATGCAGAAAAGTGCAGACTTGGGAAAACAGATTTCCTCTTCAGAAATCAGCCCTCAGGGCCTGCGGGGAAGCTCATCTGCCTGCTGGGCTTCGGCAGGTCTGTCAGACCACGGGACCTTAACAAAGGTCTTAACACTGCCACTGAGCCCTTGTGTGAGGATGAGGCATCGCTTATCCAGCAGAGTAAATTCTGGGCCAGATGAGTACTCCGCCTCCCTCGCCATGGGAGAGAGCTGGAGCTCTTATCAGGCTCTGAAATTCCGGGCCTCAACATGAGGTGGTGCACAGCATCCACTTCTATCCCTGCTCTGCCGCTCCCTCCGCAGCAGGAGGGAGCAAGAGCAGAATGCCTTTGGGGAAGAACTGGGGATAAAGGAGGTGCTAATGAGAGCTGGAGAAATGAAATCATCAAAATGTAGAACAGAATCGAGAATAAATTCTTCTGGGGTAATTCATCCATCAAGCCCTGCTCATCTCCACACTGCCTGCCTGCTCTTCAGAAGGAGTGGGAAGAGGGACGCAGAACTTAAAAGGATTTTTTTCCTCTGCGCTTTCCACTAGAAGCACAAATCTTCGAGGGGGAACCCTGCTTTATAACCTAGTTTTATTTATTCAGTCGGCATCCCAGGCACACGGCACAACTCGAGTGTTTCCAATCCTGTCTGTGCTATGTGGATGTGAGTGCAGAGCAGTCTTGGGCAGGAAAATCGCAATTCCCTGACTCCAAGCAACATGCTCACAGCCGTGTGATGCAGAAACCGAGATGGTCCCTGTTCAAAACACACAGATCCTAGAAGGGCTGCTGAGCACTCGCCACTCTGACACCGACACGCCTTTGTGAGCAGATGGAGATGATCTCCCCACCCTGGACTACTCAGCACGTCAGCGTGAGGAGCTCTATCCTCCCTGCAGCTCATTAAAGTGCCATTTGAACCCTACCCCTTCTGTGTTTTGAGTACATGCACAGACATGACACCACAGTAATTGTAAATATTTGCCCAAGGTCACCTCTGCCACTCTGCCGATTAATGCAGGATCCCAACTAATCCAGTGCCCATCACGCCTCGAGGGAGGCTGGCATCTGCAGTGATCCATGAGGAAAACTGTCTGAGGGACTTAAACATACTGTGTCTCTGAGCTACGGTCTGGTGGGTGCCAGCCCACTCTGGGCCTTGGCATTGGGTCTGTTCAGCAGCTGGAGCCACAGCTGTGCACATCCACCACAGCCCCTCAGCTTGGGAGTCCAGCAACAGCCAGATCCTGCAGAACAGGGGAGGCACAGGGGCTGATCTCTGCTGTGGCATCCCAGCAGCTGCTCCAGCCCCACCAGCTGGCTCCCAGGGTGCAGAGGAGACACTGAGACTGATCTCTGCTCTGCCACCCCTGCAGCTGCTCCTGGCCCTTGTGCTCCCTGGCCCTGCTCATCCTGCGGTGAGGCTGGCACTGGAGCTAGAGGGACATGGGCACACTGTGGAGCTGGCCCCCACACAGCTGGGCTTTGTGTCCCTGCTGTGGGAGGAAGGCTGAGGCTCTCAGAGATCAGGGCTGAGCTGCCACTGGTATCTGCACTCCAGCACTACAGTGAGTGCTGGGCAGTCAGGTTGTCACCCAGAGACACTTCGTGGTGGGACTTTGTTGTGACCTCCAGCCATCTGCTCGTTGTCACTGGTCTCAGTTCCCTGCAGCCTAAAGTGCCATGTCTGGTGCTGCACATCTCTGCTGTTGCTCAGCCACAGCCCCAGCTCTGCTCAGAGCCTGAACCCACCCCTGGCTACCTGCTGTGGGCTACTGGTGGCTCTGAATTTGGAAAAGTGGCTTTAACTTCCTGCCTGTCCAAGGGTCAGAGGATGGGGCCCTGGTCAGGCTGTTCATTCACCTCACATTGCTCTGCACAGGTACAGAGACAAAGGCTGGTCCCAGGACAGCTCTAGAGTCTGTGATTTGGCCACAGCTGCCTGGGCTGTGCTTTCACTGCTAGAAAATCAGAGATGGGGTTTGATAAATAACAATCTGGTGCATGTTAACCCCCCTGTTGTCAGACCCTGCTGGAAGCAAGCATTTGTGATCCCTCTGCACAGTGAACCAGGTGAGAACCAGGCCAGCCACGGTGGTGGTGGCAGCCTTGGCCGCTCAGTGGCCTTGCATCTGTCCTGTCTCACTGAGAGCCACTGCAGGACAGCTGCTGTGTGCTCAGTGTCCACCCGGACCAACAAACACCATTCCTCTGTGTGTGTGTGCAGGGATGAAGGCGCTCAGGGCACGGAGGAGGCTCCTGCTGCTCCCGGCTCACAGCACCTCCTCCAGCACCTGCCGGCAGCTTGGCCTCACCTTCAGACGCACCAGGAGCCTGGGTGTATTTTCCCTCATGTTTATTTTTAAAAGACGGCTCATTTTACACTCGGGGCAGCCTTCAAATATAAATAACCTGTGCCACATGTCCCCATATTACCAAGGAATAAATTACAGTTCTGGGTTCCCCCTCCCATGTTTCCCTTTGATGTTATTGCTGTGGATACATATATATATGCACTTTGCACGCAACAATCCAACCTCACCCAAAGCTGGTTTGCTGTATGGAGAACGCTGGGTGGGACGTCCCTTTGTGATGCTGAACCTGGTGGTGAAAACCCCATTTAACTCATTTTTCACTTTGAAAAAAATAAATGTCTTGAAAGAGCCAAGGCTGTCAAGGTACCAAGTCTCACCATAAACACACGGTGCCATCCATCGCATGGGAACACGCAGTTCCCCACATCTCACACACTGCCCCAAAGCCCGCAGGAGCACAGAGTGTCCCCCATGCTAGGGGAGCACAGAGTGTCCCCCACTCTACAGGAACATGCACTGTCCCCCACCTGAGGTAGCACACACACAGTGCCCTGATCCCATGGAGCACACAGTGTCCCCAACCCACGGAACACGCACTGCCCCGACCCCACAGGGGCAGGCACTGTTCCCCCAGGGCACTCACTGTCCCCAAGGGGAACACACTGAGGGGCACGCAGTGTCCCCACGGGGTACATACTGTCCCCACAGGGGCAGGCACTGTTCCCCCGGGGCACTCACTGTCCCCACGGAGCACACGCTGTCCCCACGGGGCACACGCTGTCCCCACGGGGCACACGCTATCCCCAAGGGGCACACATTGAGGGGCACGCAGTGTCCCCACGGGGCACACGCTGTCCCGGCGGGGCACACGCTGTCCCCACGGGGCACACTCTGTCCCCACGGGTCACACGCTGTCCCCACGGGGCACACGCTGTCCCCACGGGGGGCACACACTGTCCCCATGGGGCACACGCTGTCCCCACGGGGCACTCACTGTCCCCACGGGGGGCACACACTGTCCCCATGGGGCACTCGCTGTCCCCACGGGGCACACACTGTCCCCAAGGGGCACACATTGAGGAGCACGCAGTGTCCTCACAGGGCACACACTATCCCCACGGGGCACACGCTGTCCCCACGGGACACTCGCTGTCCCCACGGGGCACACACTGTCCCCACGGGGCACACATTGAGGAGCACGCAGTGTCCCCACGGGGCACTCGCTGTCCCCACGGGGCACACATTGAGGGGCACGCAGTGTCCCCACGGGGCACACACTGTCCCCACGGGGCACACAATGAGGAGCACGCAGTGTCCTCACAGGGCACACACTATCCCCACGGGGCACTCGCTGTCCCCGGGCAGTGCCCGCGCCCCGCGCGCTCCCGCCGGGCCCGTGCGCGCTCCCGGCGCCGCTGCCGCGGCCTCACCTGCGGCGGGGCGGGGCCGCGGGGAGGGGCGGGGCCGCGCGCTCGCACCGGCCCCGCCCCGCCCGCCCCGCGCGCGCCGCCGCCGCCGCCGTGTCCCCGCGCCTCCAAGATGCCCGGGCAGCGGCAGGGAGGCTCCCGCGGGCCGCCGGTACGTACCGCCGGCACCGGGGCGGGCGGGCGCGCTGGGGCGGGCCGGGGGGGCTCCCGCGGGCCGCCGGTAGGTACCGGCATCGGGGCGGGAGGCGGCACCGAGTCGGGGAGGGAATGCCGCGACCCACCGGTAGGTACCGGGGCGGGAGGAAGCACCGAGCCGGCCGTCGGGGCCCCGGCGCGGCCCTTCCCGCGGGTTTGCAGCGAGTGCCGGGGCGGGGAGCTGCCGCCCTTCCCGGGAGCCGCCGCAGGCTCCCTCCGCTCCCAATCGCCTCTCCCGTCGCCGAGTGCGTCTGCCAGCCCGCTCCGGCACCTTCCGCCGCTTGGCGGGGAGACCCGGGTGGCCTGTCCCCGCCCGGCGCTTCCCGCGGCCTTCCCGTTGCCCCGGTTCGCCCAGGGCCGTCCCGCTGGGGAGCGGCGCTGCGTTCCGGGCGGAGCGGGTACGAACTCGCCGGCTCCCGGCTCCCCGCCCGCGGCTTTGGGGATCCCGCGCCCACCCCGTCATGCCCCCGCCTTCCCCCTCGCCCCGGGTTTTTCGGTGGAGAGGGTCGTATCCCTCTGGCCGCCCAGCCCCGTGCCGGTGCTCCAGCTCCGGCGGTTTGTGGTGCCGGGCTGTCGTCGCTGCCGCAGAGCCGGTGCGGGGCCGGTGCTGCCCCGATCCTCCCGGGCCCCCCCGTACCCCTTCCCCCAGCGCGGCTGGGATCCGCTGAACTCCCGGGCCATGGAACTTAATCGGTAGCGGGCTCCGAGACCGGCGCTTCGGAAGCCGCAGAGGAGAGACACGGCCACGTGTGGGAGGTCTGCCAGCGCTGCCCCCCGGGACACCGGGGGTCGGGAGCCGTTTCCGGGGTACTGCCCGCACTTTGGGGTGTCACTGCTGAGCCGGCAGCCGAGCGTGTTTGCTTGCGGCTGCTGGGAAACGCGCCCAAGTGACACCTCGTTCTCGCGCTTTATTTTCCCGTTTTGCCTCAAAAAACCATCCCGGCCGCAGGTTTCTTGCCCCGATGCGCACAGCTGGCGAGGGCTGGAGCACAGCTGGAGCGCGGTGAAGGGCCGCTCTGCCCAGCGGTCTGCGGAGTTTCCGGCGAGGGCAGATGGCTCTGCTTGCTCCGTCATTCCCTCAAGTCCGGACACGCCGGCGTTAATGGCTCCTGCCCTTCCTGGCTGCCGCCCAGCTCTCCCCAGCCAGCCCGGAGGTTTCGGCTCGGCTTTTGTTGTCGGAAGGCGGCTTCAAGGAGACCGGCTCTGCCGGAGGAGCTGCCGCAGCCGGGTGGGAGCTGGCAGCGGTGCCTGGCGGAGCACAGGGCGCTGTTGGCTCCCGGGTGGCAGGGGGGCATCATCGGGCAGTGCCGGGCAAATGTGGGAGGTGCCACCGACCTGCCGGGGGGGCATTGAGTGTAGGCTCGAGCTGCTCTCGGACCCTTCTGCAGTGCCCTTCCCTCCTGTACCCCGGCTGCAGCGGGCAGTGACCCTCGGGCTGTGCTGGAGGGGCTGTGCAGAGCTGCCTCCGCTCCTCCGGGTGTCAGGGGCTCTGTGCTGAGCTTGTCTCTGCTGCATTTCTCCATCAAGGAGCACACTCGAGGCTTGGCTTGTGCCCCTGAACAAGGGGTAGTAAAACCGGCCACAGTATGGAGGGAAGGAGGGGGGCTGGCCCAAGCAGCAGTGCTGGAACACCCTCACACCGAGGGGATGTTCCCTGAGGACGGTCCTGGGAAAAGACAGTAAGTGCAATAGCACTACAAGCAGGAAGGATGAATTGATGCCAACGACAGCAGCAGCTGTCTCGGTTCAGGCAGGTGGCTACAGAGCCCTGGATGTGCCGGCTGCTGCCATCCGAGCTGGGTCTGTGCCCTGTGCAGCCTTCCATGGCGGCTGCGAGGCCGTGCCTGTGCACAGCCCACGTCCTGCCTGGTTTGGAAGTGCTGCTTTGCAAAAGAAATGGAGCTGCAGTGGGTGATAAATCCCTGCCTTGCAAAGCGTGCACCGGGTGAGCTGTGCTGGCCTCTGAGGTGTGTATCGGTGTGTGTGCCTGTTTGTGAGCAGAGTGGGATTAGCCCTGGGACCATGTGAGATTGATAAATAACTTACTTTTAAAACCAGGATTATGTTGTCTCCTGCTCCATCCCCTCTAGGGACAGATAGGTGTTTCTGAGCTGGGTTCCTGAGCTGTCAGTTGCAGCTTCTGTAGTGTGGAGGAGAGCCTTGAGCTTTTTAGCTCTTGGGTCAACCCCTGGCTTTAGGGCGTTGGAGCATCCCAAAGGCTGCACTGGAGAGACCAAGGCTGTCCCATCAGAGATGCTGGAACCAGAACTGTCTGCAGGCTGCACAGCTGGTTCATTAAAGGAAGCTGATGAGCAGTGTGATGATTATTTTGTTCCTCTGGAAGGAGTTGCTGCTGCTGATTACAAATGCCTTCTGTAACAAACCCACCTTAACCTGATCGAAACCCCTCTGAGGCTGGTGCTCCCCTCATTGCGAGGGGAGGGTGGCTGCTCCCCTGAGCTCCCTTCTGGAGAGGGAGAAGGCCTTGGGGAGGCTGGAGCCTGTGTTGCTGCTTTCCCTTGTTTTTAGCGTTCTTTGCCTGGAAAGCGAGTGTGTTGCAGCCTAATGAGTGCCATCATCTGGTGCGAACGGGCAGCCCTGGCAGCCCCGGCAGCCCCTCGTGGGGATGCTGATGACCGGCCTCAGGCTGCTGCCTCTAACGCCATCGCTTGCTACTGTGGAGCCTGGGTCCCAAAAATGCCAGGGCAGGGAGGTCAGCAGCGGGAGAATGGTGTGTCTGTGTGGCTCTGAAAGGCGCCTTGTGCTGTGCGAGGGCGGGGAGCTCCAGTGGCGTGCAGAGAGCGTCTCACCCCTCGGATCCTGGGCGCCTGCCTGTGTTCCTACACAGCGCTGGAAACATTCTGGACCTTTGTGCCAGCGGCCCTGGATGTGCCTCTCATCCTTGGGTGCAGGGAGGGGCACGGTGCTGAGTGGGGAGCTTGTGGCTGTGTCATCCTTGGGAGAATGTGGGGCAGAGCTAGGCATTGCTGCAGCTTTTGGGGTGCCAGTGGTGGGGCTCTGCCAGCATCCGCAGGATGTGGGGGCTTCAGCATTTGCCCTTTCTCTACCTTTGTCCCAGCCCCTGGCCCAGGGAGCACGGCCAGTGGCAGAACTGCCCTTTTTGTGCCTCTGGATGTGCTGTGCTTTCTCAGGAAACAGCCAATTGTGCTCCCTGGCAGTCCATCACTCTGCCTTGCTCTGGCCCCCTGCCCTGGGGCCAGGTGGGTCCTGTGGCCAGGGTGGGGACACCCTTGCCCTTGTTTTCTGGGGCTGCCAGCTCGCTGCTGTGAGGAAGGCAGCCCCCAGTAATGCCTTTTAACACAGCAAGGACAGGAGTGGGATGCTGGACCCCAGGCTTGCTCCAGTGGGAATGGGGCTGGGTGACAAAAATCTGGGATGCTGGTGGGGTGGGGGTCAGGCTGGACCACTTTTTATCTTCTTTTCATGCAGTCTCAGCTCTGTGGTGCCAGTCAGCCTTCATGCAGCTCACTGATCCCCATGTCACTGTGGGCTTGGCTTCCTCCCCCAGCAATCAAACCTGAAGAGCCCTGGGTGCCAGGAGGGCAGGGGACATCTCTCTGCTGGCAGAGTTCCCTGTGTTTCATGCTGCTGTCACCCCGCTCATGGAATCATAGAATAGGCTAAGTTGGAAGGGACCCATCAGGATCAGTAAGTCTAATTCCTGGCCCTGCACAGATACCCCAAAAATCTCATAATCTGCCTGAGTGTTGTCCCAAGTGCATTATGAGCTCTGGCAGCCTTGGGGTCATCACCACGTCCCTGGGGGGCCTGTCCCAGTTTTCAGTCACCTGCTGGATGAAAAAACATTTCCTGATGTCCAACCTAAATATCATGTCCCTGTGCCCCTTTCCCTCCCCCTAAATGATGATCCTTCCTTCTGTGCATGTTTGCTCATAGTGGTTCTGGGCTGTCCCAAATGTCCCCTGGTGCTACACCAGTGACTGCTCCCAGAGCCCAAGACTGGGGAGGGGACACTGCACCACTGAAAGGCTTGTGGTGATTCTGCTGGAAAGTGTTTATTGTTGAAGGGGAGGTGGCTGGGAGGGCCCAGTGAGGAGCTGCTGCCGGAGCCCAGTGCCGCCGCCAGGTCTCTGGGTGGTGGCATCTGGTTTGCTTCCTTTTGGGCATTTCCCGTGGGATTTCCGCCCTTGGACAGGAAAAGGGTGCGGGTGGGATCCGGCTGGAATGGAATCTCAGCCAGAGCAGCCTGTGAATGAATGGGGACGCTGCTGTCTCTGTGTGGGTTAAACAGCTTCCGAGGTTTTTACTCTCAGTAGAGTGACTGAAGGGAGAGGAGGGGAGAGTTGTGTGGGGTTTTTTTGTTTTGGTTTTTTTGTTTTGGTTTTGTGTTTGGGTTTTTTTTTGGTTTTTTTTTTTTTTTTGGAGGAGTTGGAGTTTTTGATTTTTCTGGGATTTTTTTACCGATGTTGCCAGTTGGATGCTACAAGCTCTCAGGTCTCAAAACTGTATTTTATAAATCCCACTGTCTGGTGATGCTGCTAGAGAAGGAAAACCCACAGACTTGTGAGAAGTCAGTGTGAGAAATGAATGGAAACTTGCTGCATCACTGAGACTCTGAGGGCAGATCCGAGGGACTCGTGCTGCATCCATGCAGGAACACATGCAGCAGGTCTGTGTGCCAGCTGTGTCAGGGATCCCCCAGCTTCACACACTTTCCGTGGGATTCCAAAATGAAAGAGCTCCACGCCTCTGCGAAATGTCATTATTGTTTATAACTTGAGATTTGTGTCTCACAGAGAAATGAATTACTCAGTCTATTTCTCGTTTTGCAGATGCAGGAAATTGGCTACTACACAAACCCAGCTGGTTGAGTGAAGGGGAAAAAATGCATTCAGGCAGGAGGCAGAGGCCTGGCTGGAGTGGGGTTCTGTGGGGGCACAGGGAAGGTGACAGTGTGCGAGCTGTCCACTCCAT